ATACGAATCCTGATTTGCATGTGAGCTGCCTTCGCAAGTCATCGTCTAGGCCACATCGCACTCAATAAGTGACTGCGATCCTGAATGGAGAGATCTATCCCCATCACACCCAGAAAACGACTGATTGATGGCGGAAACTTCTTCCTTCTATCCTTTGATTCCACACAAGTTTGAAATTAAAAAAGGATGAAATCGAGCGGGTGCTCACGAGGTTTAAATCGAGTCAAGAATCGTCTCACCACACGCCACTTTACCCTGGGAGATCTTTAAGAGTGACTAATTCATCAGAAAATTGACAAAAACGGCAAGGACTGAACCCCAGAGGAACGTGAGATAGGCTTACGTACCACATCATGAAAGCCTTAAGCCAATCGTGCTCATAGTGTCAACCGGGAATGCTAAAATTACATAGGGATTAGCCCCCACGTGTTTGAAACATATTCTTGCCTGCGCTTCATTGTTGGATTTCTGGCTCATTCCAGATCGCTTTTCTTCGAGCTCATCGAATTCATTGGGCATGTGGCCGCAATCCACATTCGTCCCTTTCGCAAGTCAGTGTATTGCAAATTCACTAAAAAGAGCCACTGAGCTTTCTTACCGAGGTCTGATTGAAAAGTGCAAACATAGAGCAAATGTTCGTGCTTAGCGCTCGCTCGATTTACGTGCTATCAATCTCACCCACAGAAGGCTCTTTTCCCGTGAAAACAAATTACACAAAACGGCAAAAATTTCTGTTGAGTCAAGCCATCCGTGATTTAACTACTGATAGAACTGATTAGTGCAGCCCATTGTGGGGTTTCCAGGACGGTGTATTCGCGTCCATGGGGTGGTGTTCAGCTTGTATTAGCTGGAGTCAAGGAAAAATAAATGTTTTTGATGGAGCAAGAACCAGCACATCATGAACCATGGTGAACTCGACTGCAACGCTCAAGATACTTATTTTAGGCAAGTTAATCTACATGTGGATGATAGCATGTGTTGTTCTGATGATTGTACGACCGTTCATTACCAGGCCAACAATATACAACAGTGCTGTGGGTGCATTCACGCCAATGCCTTTCATCTCCGATGACATTCAATGGGTAGGTTTTCACTTACACTCGATAGTTTATCTCAGATGTTCATGAATGAATTGTAAGAAGTGTCTAGTAGGAAGAAAAAAATGGACGCAGTTTAGCTCTTTGAGGGCACCAAACTATATTCAGCAGAGCCTGTGGGGGCCAACTCTATAAGATCGGTAACTCTTGTAACCATAAATTATCACTACCACTCTGCAGCTTCACAGGAGTTCAGTTCTTCTGCCAGTCAATAACAACTAACAGGTCTCATGTTGGCGAGATCTGTAAGTTGCCAGTCAATGAAAACTAACAGATCTCGCCAACATGAGACCTCTTAGTTGTCATTGACTGGCAGAAGAGCTAGGGAAAGCTTTAGACGGAAAGCGCCTGAGATTGTTCCTCAAAACAGTATAATTCCAATCGCATTTTCTTAGCAAGCATTATTATTTTGTCTCCACAGGAAGTCGCACATTACGTTTCTGTATTACTGCCAATTCACAACATTTCTGTAGTGGTTATTCTGGTGGTGCTGTACTCAATTATATGCTGTTACGTCGCAACAATAAGCCGAATTTCTCACAACAGCATTGACAAAATACAAATACAGGTGAACTATGCAATAACTGGCTATTCTACAGTGTGCTTTATTCCTCATTTTCATAACACATATCATTCGCAGTCTGTATGAATTAGATAGTACAGCATCGTTGGGAGGATCCCGTCATGTGGAGTCCTACTTATAACTGGTCGCTGGTGGCGGTGGAGTATGTGCCTTTTGGAGAAAACTTTTTCCGAGCGGCAAGAAGTTTTGTCCGTTTGTTGACTTTTTCCAGTACTTCCCGCTTCACTATATATTCGCTCTATCCCCTCCTCCCCCTCCCCCTTCCTCCTGCCCACAGCTGCCGCAGAACTACCATGCAAATTCTAGTTCTCGTAGCTGAAAGTTTCGGAATTGAAAATTGGAATTCCTCGACTAACCGCTGCCCATTACGGGATTCTCAAGAGGCTCTTCCAAATTGAATGCGTGATGTGGAAGGTGATCAATAATGAATTTGACCGATATGCGCCAGCTGCCCTAACAGGCGCCAACCTGAAGCCAAGTTTTTTCGTTGAAAACAGAGTAAACCTTTTTTGGGCCTTGTGGTCACCGAAAGAGTGCTTATCTTGGATCTCTTCATTCCATCCAGGTGCTCCTTCACCCTGATACAAACCGAATAAACTTGTTTTCTTCGTGTTTGTTTTTGACGATGGCTTCATTCGATTCCCATAGAAGCTAGTTTGGCGCCGCAACTTTGTCTCGTTTATCCCGAGTGACGAGCAATACTCTATACCGTCAAATCGAGGAATTGGGCAAAAATGGCTAAAGTTTCACAAGGTGTGCGGAGCCTCTGATAGCGGGTGGGGGCAGTTTGGTACGTCTCAAAGAGGTGAAATAATCATAACAAAGCAAAATTCTGCTAAAGATCACAAAATTCCTTCTGAAGTGGGCGTGACTAAGGAACGAAGCTTATGGTTAGTGCATGTGTAAGTGTTTGCCATTGGGTACATAAAGCAGTAATGCAAAAAACCGTACGGGCAGAATTCGTACTATGAATTTTGAAAAAAAAACACAATGGTACTGAATAGAGGGCGTGGTTGTGGGGCAAGGCTTTCTGTGATGTCCAGTGCGATCAAAGGAGGTAAGAATGGCACTCTGTACATGATTTCGCGAAAGCTCACAAACCGCCAACAAAATGTTCCAAGAAGGACATTATGAGCCACTGGCTCAGAGAGATGCAAGCGAAAAATGTCATGTCTCATGTCCATGTCTCACGCCTGTTTTCCACCCCTTACATGCACCGCTTCTGCCGCAGAATACTCTACAAACCAGGATTAACCCATTGCGTACCGCTTGCTGCACCATGTGCAGTAAAACTGAATACCATTACGCTCGTTTGAACTTATTTAGCATTGCTCGATGACTAAAAACTGTCAGTATAATTGTCAAGTCCCCTGGAAAGAAATATATGCGTGGGAAATTACGGGATCTAACTAGAGCTCAGCTGTTAATATTTTTCAGGAAATTCTTCAGCTGTTATATCCTTTGTTTATTTATCAGTGAACAGAACACTTGTAAACATACAACGTCCCATTTCCAATCCTTCTTGAATTTATCAACCTCTTCGTCAACTGTCGCATTTTTTTGGTAAATCACTTTTATCACGTAATAGTATTCAGTTTTACTTATCTATTCATGCATACAAAGTAATTATAATACGAAGTATATACAATATTTTATATCATATGTATATGATGAAAATCACATTTGTTTATACTCGGCGCGCCACGAGTCGCGTCGACAAAAAGGCGTCGGCCACAGGCGCCCGGTGTCGGTTTTCGCCAAAAGGCCACGTTACGGAATGGGTTAAATAGAGCGAATGGGGCACAGAACGAGAGAGAGCGGTGAGACAGGAGAATAGAATTTCTGATGAAAGCTGAGCAATTCAAAAAGGGACTTGCTTCATCAAAATGGATGATGCTTCAGCACATAATAAGCACATGTTCAGCTTTTCATCCAAGCTCTCTTGATCTGCGCAAGCACTGCTACTGCAGCTGGCCTCTACATCGTTTTAGTGGTTATTCCAGCACCTAAATACGTAGTGATCATTGCAAACGCTGTGTGGCAGTTTAGTCACGGTACGTCCTTTCCGATTGCAATCATGAATCATAAACTCTGCTAATGATAAGGCATGTAACCGAGGACGTCCTTTCACTTTTCGCTTCAGTGCACGCCCCGTCACACGCCCTATCGTTTGCACCATAATACATTCACTGGATTGACACCTATTTTATAAAACTTACAGAATTTCAGGGGTGCCTGGCATTGTTCTTATCTGCTTGAACAAGCACATTCGAGAAGACGTGAGAAGCATTTTTTGGAGGAAGAAAAATGTTAATCGTACAACCTTTATTTCAGTCACGATAACTGTTAAATAAATCAAATTAATAGACCTTGCGACTTCCCGTGAATAATTCAACACTGAAAAACTTCCTTCTTCATCTTCATCTCAACTACCAAGTTCCACAATGAATACTGATTTGCTCATATAGCTAAACCGGGTTCGAACCGATCAAATGCACGCATACTATCCCAGAAATGGGAATGGTGTGGCTGTATGTGTGGCGACTGTGTTTCTGGTGGGATGTAGTCTCGGTACGATTGAGAGTCTTTGTCTTGTGGAACTCCTGCAAACTTGGCTTTTGCCAAGCCTCGTCCACCGCTTGCCTTGCAGACCCTCGTCGATCGCACTGCATTCCAGGCCAGTCCTTCCCAAATGGCTCGCGGCATCTCACCTCCACGGTACGCTTGAGCTGAGAGACGTCAGTCTGTAGAAGATCACACAGCTCGTTCACGAGCTCTCCATCTTTTTCTACAGTGTCGACATAGTCTCTCCATTCGTCTCCTGTTTCTATACCCCTTTGGGAGAGAGTAACCACGATTTCTTTCATCAACTCATCTGATACTACGGGATGATGTAAAGCTTCTCTTGCTAGTTTTTCTACCGCTTCACTTACTACATCCCAATCATTTTCCAAACTGGTTCTAGCTTGCTTCGCTATTTTAGCATTGCCTAACACCAATTTTGCCCTTTCCTTCGCTTCACGCACTATCCGCATGAACGCAAGCCAGCTCTCATGCTGATATTTTCCATCAGCTTTGGGACTACCCAACTCTTGGGGGATACATACTCGTCCTCCTTCATAAAGACTCGCTGCAATTCATCACTACTCATGCTTGTGGTGACCTCTGTCGTTCCCTCACGACAACCATTCTTTGCGATGCCTTATCGCCCTGCCAATGTGTTCTTCTCTTCGAACGCTTATACTCTTTCAAACCTCCTAACACCCTCTTCCGGTGTAAAGCGAGGTCGATTTTCTAACAAGGTGTTCTTTCCTGCTTTCGAACACCCTGCTTCCTTTGGATCTCCTGGTGCCCTTCTCAATGGCTACTTGACCAATAGACCAGGAACGATCCACCTGCTGTATCCGCTCACTCGCGCTCAGCAAACGAAGTAGTCGCTTTAGTCGCAAGTGGTTCGGCCCCCATGTAAGGCCGAATAGTAGAGTTTCGGCCCTTATGTATGCGACTGGCAACTACTTGCTTACTCTGCGGTGGAAACGGATAACAGAAAGAATTTTATTTACAGAATATACAGTAGTAGGTAGGAATGTCTTGAGCGATGATGGCGTGCAGAAATCGAAGAAGGCGGCGGTGTCCACTGCGGGCGGCGACGTCCACTGCAGGCGGCGACGAAGTCCGATGACCAGGATTCAGTAACACCAGAGAAAGCTCTGCTTGAGTCTTACGGCTAGCTCTTATATACCCGGCGGCCCCTCCCCTATCTTGCCTGAGGGGCCCGCGAAAAGACCACCTTGCCTGGGGGCGCGCCAACTACAGATCTCACGTAGGGGGGGGCGCGATCTACCTGTGCGACCACCCTATGCACCTCCCTCATGGCTTCCTACTCAACACACTAACACTCTCACTGTAGCTGAACAGTATCTCTCCAACAGCAGGCGAAATGAAAGTTCTTTTAAGAGCTATTTAACCGAATAGTCTGCTTTTGAAACTGACCTCTACGTGCGAGATGTGAGGTGGAAGGTGGTAACGAAAAGAATTCCATTTGGGCAAACCGTCTGGGAATCGCCATGCTTACACCGCGGTTCACCTGAATGTGATTATTTCGTACACTACAATGACTCGCAATGTCAGCAGATGCATCGATGCCTTTATAGCAGACAACTGTTACATCACTGATCCGACTTTGTAGGAAAAAGTGCTCATTGTCCATGCAAACGAGTACCCAGTGTGGCTGAATGACTCTGGCGGGAGACTTGCCACGCTGTTTAGCCGATCCTATTTCACTTTCCATAATTTTTTCATACGAGAAAAGACGTTGGAATAGAGAATTTGTATTTTCTTTTCCTTTTTTCCCTTCGCAAAGTAACGGTCAAGAAGTATAGGGAAGCAACCCTCAGTAACCAACCGTAAAAGGGGTCAACAGTCCTTAAGGGATTTCAGTGGAACTGAAACCGAACAGAATTAGAGAAAAGCCCTAGATTTTGTGAACAGCCCGTCAAAATATTGATTTTGATGAGAAAAACGATCGCGTGTGGATGGCTGATACTATGTGTGTTGCTGCAAACTATAAGAAAACCTTGGCGCCGACGACAAATTCTTGTGAAGGGTAAAGCAGTTTTGTATTTTTTCGTGCTTCTCTGGCATAGCGTCATCTGTGCAGGATAGAATCTTCTGTTCTCCATGTGAGCATGCTGACGAGAAAAGAAAGAAGATAGCTGGAACCTGACAAGAGAGTTTGACCTTTCAAGACATGATGTGTTTTCTTTAGGCATGGTTCGCTTCACGTTGCAGTTGTATTTGTTGCATGTTGCATGTTGGGCATTTTTTATAGTAGGGTTCCATACATAGACCACAGAAGGGAATTTCATAGTTGCTGTGCGATTCTGGGAATGGAATGGGTTTCTGAAAGAAGTGTGCTGGAAGAAAGCGATTTGAGCCATCTTATTGGGCTCTGCTTCAATTGTAACGCTGAGTATGCATCATTTGTGAGACCTTCACCAAATATGAATCGAAAACAAAGTAAAGTCTAATCAAAGTCAGTCTGGACTACCACATGCCATGTCGATCACAAGCAAGACCAACCGTCGCTAATCTCGCCTTCTCAAATTGTGCATCCCTTCACATGAATCTCTATCGACCTCTACTGAAACACTTACGGAACAAATGTTTAATGCTGTCCTGTAGAAAAACCTGGTAGAATGGAACTTTTTTTGAATTTCCAGGTGCGGATGGCGTGCAATGTATCTGTCCTTAAAAATTATTAGTTGTCAGCTATGCGTTTGTATGCTGGTCAAGATTAAGGTGAAGAAGTTGGATACGATTCCTAGATGATACAGATAGCCACCAGTTGGACATGGTCAAGCAATAACAGCACAAGTTCAGAGAAAGTTCTCGCTAGCACTCTAAATGTGCGGGTAATTGCTAATCTCGATGAGGGTTCTGACACTTATTTCTGGCCATTAAGGGCCATTTGGCGCCATTAGACGCTAGACGCCCCTGCGTGGGGAGAGGATGCCGAATGAATCACTAAAAAACTTCAATGGCACCTTACAGCGAACTAGGTAAAGCACTTCTTTTTTTACCTTATTTCTTTCCATTGACTATTCCTACTCAACATGACAGTTAGAACCTCATAAACGTGCATGATGATCAAGCAGGCAACAGTAGAGGATATGCTGCTTTTAAAAGTTGAAAAACAGCAAGCAGAACGCACGGCGCTCATGTTTTAGGCCCATTGGCGCCCGATAGGCCCATGCCGGCCTCCGGTGACCGTGTCGTTGTGAGACTGCCATTGCGCTCTCTCGCCCGTCATTTTCTGGCCTCTCTCGTCTCTTATCAGTGTCTCGCCGCCTTTTGCAATCCACAATTGATCTTGACCACCTTACGCTCGTCCGGTGATCATGATCAATTGAAATAAAGAGGGTCTTATTGCGGGCGCTTTTTCGTGGTTCCTTCTCTTCAATAAGTCAACAATCACAGGGCAATTCTATTTTTGAACTGTATTACCTATGAAGTGTGGTCGCGGGAATTGCCTTTAAGAGCTTTAGATTAGCAGATTTTTTTCACTCCTTTTTTAGCCATCCCAGAAACACATGGCAAAAATGAGAAGTATCTACGTATTTTTTGTGATCTTTGCATGGACCTCTACAGCATGCGATAGTGCTCTTAAAGAAGTGCACCAAGGCCTGAGAGACCTCCCTTATGAGACGAATAAGGTTTTCGAGCTTTTGAGGCTGTCATTGTCTGGATCAGGAGTATCAACAGAGTTAGCGAGCGTAATTCTAATTGTTGTTGTAATTGTAATCAGTTACCTCGTGACACGGTTAGGCACAAGGTTGGGCGAATGCTTTATTCTTCATCTACGCATGAATTCTCTAACGTATTTGCTCAAGGAAGTGAGCTTAACAAAAACAGTTCGCGTTCGAAAACTGTAATGAATACGTCGCACATGCTCGAGCGTATCAATCAGCTCTTCTAGCTTGAGACGTGTTTTTTGCATTATCTTCAGACAAACACTCATTCACAACTGCTTATCGTACTTTTATTTCCCAGCATTGCACCATCGAGCTAATCCAAGTATTTGAGGCTCTTCCATAGGTAATGAGTTTGTAATGTACCTTTGTGCTGCGCAACATTTACACTCCACACCCCGGAGATGGGAAGGGTGTGGCTGTCTACCCTACTCGAGAGTACTGGGACCTGCGCCTTTGGTGAGGTACTGCCATTTTGGGACGATCGCAGGCATGTGTTTGTCCAGCACGACCAGGCTCACAGTTTCCTAGATGGGAATACCGCACGAAAAAGAAATTCTACGCTACATTATGTTTGAATGCAGAACGCGGCTAGGCCCTTTTTACCTCCAAGCAAGAGTCAAGCATGCCGCAGAATCCGCGACGTGGGGGTCGTGTGTGACTTGCCAGCCAGTAGTGGAATTGGGGCGGGGTCGTGTGTGCAGGTGTTGATAATGAAGGGATCAGCGGCAACACTAGTGGAACACTGTCCCTGCTTTTGCATATGGTACGCCTTATCTCTCAGTTGGACATTCATAACAATCCAATTCACTGAGCGTCTTCAGCGGAGTAACAAGTCACGTCCCTCTCAGTAGGATGAGAAACGTAAAAGCTGCAGAGGGCAATTTTGCTGTAATATACCCAAGACAAAATCGTTGTACTTGTTGGAAAGCGAGAAACCTGCAATTTCCGAAGTCGTATAGGTCTCCGCTCTATGCTATGTCTGAGGAAAGTTGTGTCAACTGAAAGGTTATTTACAGTGTGGAGCCGCTCAACAGTGGCCCTAATGTATCGCTACAAAGCCCTCCCAGAAGTACAAATCCTGTGTCTATCGCTTGGCAAAAGATCACTGGTGGACGATTCTACGCTCTTTTCAAGATAGACTGAAGTTCGGGACAGTGGGTCATGTGGCGCTTCATTTCCGCAATACCTAACGCAACTGAAGAACCCAAGGGCATACCTGTAAAGAGACTGCGGGTGGGGTCGTAAGGACATCCTCCCTGAGGGAGGGAGTCTTAGCGAACGGCGATTTTCCGCTACGTGAAACTTTATCCCGCCGATGGGCACCTCCACTTACCTTCCTTCTACTTTCCCTATCAGATCTGACTCAAAAGTTGCTGCTCAGCTTCTTGTTCTTGTATGCTGTTTACTATTTATCTGCTGTCATATTAGAGGGCCATAAATGTGGGAAGCGTTCCTCACTGAAGAGAATATCGTTCTTTGCAACTTTTTTGACAGCTTTGTTTCCAGAATTAGAAGATCGATGAAGGTGTTCTACATCAACCTTCCATGGAAAGTTAACGAAACAGAGTACAACTGTAGTTCAAGAAGCCTTGATGAATGGAGGGGACGAGGTGCTGTTGATGTACTCCAGGGCACGTACTTTTTGGTAACTGGCACAATTTTTTTGGTGAGCATTTTTTGCGAATTTTCAAAAAAGCAGTGTTGCTGCAGAACATTACATTTGAAAATAAACAGCCCACTCACCTCCGGAAAAGGCCTTTGTCATGTACGAAGTGAATAGGTCCGCAGCTGCAGTAATGTGTCTCTTTATCGGATCAGAAGTAAACGGGAACGGAGCTGAAGGGTGCTGAGAGCCGGGTGTCTCTTCAGACATCGCCCACGCTATCCTCAAGGTGCAGCACTTGCGTCGATATAGATGGCTCGCAGCTAACACACAGTCGCATGTAGAGTACAACCAAAAATGGGATGGCGCAGACAGCTAGCGCGTTCTGCCACGGCTAAGCGTTTGGCTGACCATGCGGTAGGAGGTCACTGTAGGGTGTCACCATCCTCCACCAATTCTAAGCGAAGAAAGCACGCTACTGCAGCTGCTGGTTCTTTCGCGTCGCATATGGTAGTAACTTGGATCCACGGGGGTGAGTGTACTGTTTATCTACGAAACAGTATCTGTAGGATTGACAGCTGTACTTGCCGAGTGATTGACATTGCCGATTCAGACAGTATTTATACTAGTAATGATCGCATTGGTTCGTGCGAACCTTCTGAAAATTCCTTGCTACAAACTGATGTTCTTTAATGGATTTATCGATGTATGGTGCCTAATCTTAGGCTCATATTTTGTTGCCTATTTTCAATACGTAAGCTAGAACTTCCAATGTTCCAATGTATTCAGTATTAAGCAGTCAAAAGTTTTATTGACTTATTATGCTTCAGGAAGGTGCAGTGTATTGCAGCAACACTACTCTGAGCCTGATCATTGGACACATGGTTTGGAGTGAGTTAATGTGTTTTTACATAGTAGTGAAAAGTCGCGCAGAGAAGCGCTCACCTGTTATCAGGTGCACCTGGTATGGGGAGAAGAACACAGTCGAGGGGGGGGGGGTGGGAGAGGAGGATGGCCGGACCACGCTGCGTGATGTGAATGCAGATGTTCAAAGGCAGCGCCCGCGTTCTTCTGTTGTTCCCATGCCCGCTTTGGATATCGTAGCTCACCCTATGAGAATGGTGGACGTACTAGTTTTGCAACTCAAAAATGCGAGAGAATAGCGCGCCCGCTCGTGAAGAGTCGGCCACCGTTGCCCACCTATGAGAATGGGAACGGTACTATGTTTTGCAACTCAAAAAATGCGAGAGAATAGCGGCGCCCGCTCGTGAAGAGTCGGCCACCCCGCCCACCTGGCGACCACTACGCCCAACTTCATTTCTAATGGTTGCCTGATGGTGCGGTTGTTCTGCTACTAACTCTCTCCACTTCGAATGGTGAGAGTGAGGTGATAAGGGAAAACAGCTGATATCAACAAGTGAGAACTCGTGCGGCCGCGCCTTCTTTTCGCCTTGAGCACGTACAACCTCAGCTCGGCGTGGGGTCCAATATAAGGCAATCCGAAGATTTTTGCATTTTTTTTCACTAATGGACTACTTGCTACCTTGTTGTCACTTCGTGGTTCCCATAACTCATCAAACTGGACGCGGGCGATGTCTTCAAAAAGGAGCATTGAGCAATATGCACCTCAGCTTCATTCGCTGTATACGTTCCTCCCTCCGCTCGACTGTAGAATGGTTAAATTCTGAGTTTTTGGAATGATAGGCAGTTTGTATTAAAGGGATGTACCGGGAGGAGAAATTCGGTGGGTTATTGATCCTTAAGAACATCGGAGCAGCTTGAAAGCCCGAGTAACATGGTCAAAAAAAAAAAAACTGAAAGTTGAATCCATTGAACCTGCTTTGCATGACCATGCCAAGACATGATTAAAGGACGAGCAAGGCAGGATCGAAAGATGAGGAGCCCCCATTTCTCCCTTTTCAACCATTTGCTCGGCCGCTGGCTGCTTGACTGTCCTCGGTAGCGAGTTTTCCATAACGCGATGAAGTGTGCGCCACTTAAGAAGGGGATGGTTTCAAATCCTCAAGGAACTCTAAGTTAAGAGCTGTGGCAGCGTGTCTTAGTGGTAAGGGTTTCACGTCAAACTTGAGAGCGTGGGTTTGCATCTCGTTGGTAAAAAAATTTTCGCTTTGCTTCCGATGAGACCTTTCAAGACATTCGAATTTCTTCCGAGTAACGGTCCAGCAGAGCAAATAGATCAAGTAGGTCAAGTACATGACATAGCAGATCGAGTGAGGGTCTAGCCACTATGTACTCCTCGTCAAACTAACTTTTTGACAAATCGAAGTTTTGACAATTACAATTCTACGTTTACATTTCATTTCACAATTAGCTCAAAAACTTCTCCATATTCTGCCCCCTCCACCCTAATCACGAAAAACACATCAGCTTGTCACGGAAATGATTGTTCTTTCATCAAAGGTGCTGACTACAACAACAACGTAAGGAGTGCTCGGTGCCGGTCTTCTCAGGGCGAATGTTTTTGACCTAAATGAGCCGAATATTTGCAGCCTGGAAGTTGAACTACCATTGAACACAGGACTTTAGCGGGTTCGGTGTTTTATGTTTAGTTGGCGCCAGTGCTTATACAGCTTGGCGCAGGCTACAGAGAATTTGCTTCAAACGGATGTGATATTGCTGTTCAGGATGTCGAAATACCTCCGGTAACGAGTTTTTGGCCTTATTGTGATTCTGGTCAAAACTTCGACTTGTACATAGGAGATCGATGTCACACGGGGCCGATAGTGGTCAAATCCTTACTTGATCTGCTTTGTCCTATACTGCACCTGCTGGATCCACTTGCTCTGCTGGAGCGCTTACTCGAAAGAGTTTCAAAAACTGGAGTGAAAGGTCTCACTAGACAAAGAGCAAAGTCTAGCACCAATGGGATACAAACCCACAAGCTCTTCTCTTTGAAGCGAGACCGTCACCACTAGGCCATACTGCCACAGCTTCTTCTCCACTCAGCTGTGCTTATATGCCAACACTGCGAATCTTGACCACCCAAAACTAGGGTGGAAGATCACCGTAGCGCTGATAATCTGCATAGTCAATCAGCAGTGGGGGCTGTGTCGATGTACCTAGGTCTCCATTCGAAGTTCCATGTAAATTAAACCGTTCCCCTTTTAGTTCGGTGATTGAAAACATGGAATGTTCTCCCTCATCATACAATTTTCTGTGGGGACTGGCTGCTTTATCCTGTCAAAAAGGAGATGCCAAGTACGGCTTTCCATGGACTTCGGCACTGAGTCGGGAGTGAGATCCTTCACTTCAACTTCACACAAGGTTTATAAATCAACCTTACTGGTCGACGTCTACTTTCCGGTGGGGTTTCTTTCTATAGCGCCTGAAAGGACGGACGCAATTCATTACTACCCGACAAGACGTCTCTGTTACTCTATTGAGGTTCGGGATCAATGCAGCTCACCATATAACGTGAGAAGGGCTAGTTACCGCAACGCATCTAGTCTTGGGGACCATCCTCTTCCCGCTGCTCCTTAGTGGGGACCGGTTGAAGCAAAGTACTTCACAAGATGTTGTGAGATAAGATGTTTCAGGCTTCGAAGATCGTCCCATTAAATAATGGGTACATCAAATAAATATGCAATTTTCAGGTGCTTGGCTTGGATCAACCTTTTGCGCTATTGTATTGGCCTTCAATCGACTTGTGGAGATGGTTCCATCTATGTCTGCAATACGCTTTCTATTTAGAGGTCCTTTCTATAGACAACTTTAGAATTCAACATGTTTGAGTTTTCTAAAAGAGTGTGCTCTCCTCATAAGGAGCGAATGGCGCAAGTTATTAGATAGCTTCGAACAGGGACCTCGGCTGACCCCTCTTGTTTGATTTATTTGCCTATACACTCAGATGAGGTCGGCAATGACATCGAACTAGAACTAAGTCAAGCAAGTGGTATTAGTAGGAAACTTTATGTACTAATGCTCACGTCATCGATTACCCTATTTCGAGCAGTCGGCGAGTATTTTCAGTTCAAAATACGAGAGGAATTACCCGCCGCCAACCCAACAAACAAACACAACAAGTTCAGTTTAATAAAAGAACAGTACAAAGGATGAGAAGAGGCACACGATTTCTCTGGGGGGGGGGGGAGGAGCATGCAACACAGAAGAAAAATAGCTGACCCAATAGCTTTTACTTTCATTTGCCCCGATTTCCTTTTTTCGCGCCAGAACAACTGTACGCTATCCCGCCAAGCACTGTCCTATGCACCTCAGTCAATCGACAGTCACCCGAAGAACTGATATCTAACCCTAACATATGAATGTATATTTCTTGGTCACACTTCTGACAATTTATATATCTCAAATGTATTCTAGTTCTAGAGCTACATAAAGGGCGCGAAGAGTTCCAGAATGGAACAGTAGCTTTTTTGCATGTTCTTGTCTTATGACTACCTTTGATACAGCTGTAAGGGATGCCCACATGGATAAGAACACGGTGAGGGGGTGCTCTCCACATATGGTCGTTCTCGATGCTGCGGTGAGGCGTGTCAGGGGGCGCGAGTCCAGCCGTTTCCACCCAATATTGTCGGCTACTGGTTTCAACAAGTGGTGGAGAACGGGCTGGCGCTCGGCCAGACCGGCCCTCCTGGCAAGCCAAAGCGTCCAGCGGCAACGACTGTATGTGCGCCTTGCAGCCCCAGAAAATATCGTATACCGAACTGATTGATAGAGCTTGTCAAGGTGGGACTCTTTAATAAGAGGGTCATGTCTTTTGTTGGCTATCTCTCCAACAGATTGATTTCTGTGATTGTACAAACAGATCAAGAACTAGCTTAGTATGTAAACTGCCCGTGTGGCCTATCTCAAGGATTACGGTGCTTATTTGAGGCAAGTTGATCTACATGTGGATGACAGCGAGTGTTGCACTAATGATAGCACGACCCTTCATTACCAGACCAACAATATACAACAGTGCTGTGGGTGCATTCACAGCAACTCCCTTCATCTCCGATGATATTCAATGGGTAGATTTTCACTTCCATTCAATGAGTTTGTCTCAGTTCTTCATAAAATCAAGGGAAATAGAAGGACTGATTGAAAGAAAGAAAACAATCCCCAAGTTAGTATTACTCCTGAAGCTTTTCCTTACCAAGATTATAATTTTACCTCTGCAGGAAGTCGAAAATTATGTTAGTGTATTGCTGCCGATTCACAACATATCAGTGGTGTTTATATTGGTGATGCTGTATTCAGTCATATGTTGTTCTGTCGCAAAAATGAGCCGGCTTAGTCACACAAATATCGACAGAGTACAAATACAGGTGAATTATGTATTAATATTATTATTGTATTATTATAACATACTTATATATTAATATTAATATTATTGTATTATTAGTAACGGACTCTCTGACGCGGATATCACAATGTATTTACTCCCTAATTTTTATAAAACATCACCTGCGATATGTATGATCTAGTGTTTCTCATGCATGCAGTTCCTCGCGCATTGGCAACTTCTCTCTCTCTCTCTCTTTCTCTCTCTCTCTCTCTGTGAGAGAGGCTTATTTTAGCCTGAGCTCCACAAGAAACTGGCAATGAAATCAACGGTCAACGTTCCGACATTATCGTCAATCGTCTAGAAGAAAACAAAGGATGAGCTCCTGAACAACAATGTCGAAAACTTCAGGCTGATCGGGCGCTAATGGTACTACATCGTGAACATGACATTGGTTACGACAGAGCACGTCAGCCCATAGAACAGTTTTGTTAGGTCCAGGTGAGGTAAGATTGTCTGACGGAGGATTGTACGGGACGTTAGCGCAAAATATGCTCTGTCCAAACATAGGAAAAGAAGTTATACGAGGTCGAGGATTTCGTATAGGATCCGAAAAAGGGTGACGATAATATTATTCACTCACATGGATCTGTCGAAACTGCTGCTTGCACTTGGATTTGCTGCAGTGATTTGAGTATCACATCATTAGTTTATGACATCGTAACCAGTCGGGGCGGCTCATAGCAGTATTGGATGAGCGCAAATGCGGTTTTGATTACCGGTTGTTTCCTTGTTACTTGTTATTTTCATAATCGATCACTATCCGATCACCGTTGTCAGAGAAAGATGATCGCAGGCAAGCTCATTCCCCCCACCCCTGACACCGCCCCGTCTAATCGCAAAGTTATAAATACTATGCTCTTAACAAATGGGACCAGCCAAACAGCAGACAAATGCAAACCTACAGCTTAAACCCCTCGACACATCAGAACGTTTTCGTGGGTGTCTACAGTGATTGAAACGCTTAAGCTCGGAGTTTTCAGACAACGTTATTCAAGTAAAATGACCGGACGGTCCAACTAATCCTGTGTTAATAATGTGACAGGAAGATTTACTGCTGACTGATTATCATTATGCGGATGGATGAATTGACTTTTTCACCAGCGTCGCTTATCCTTGCAGACAGGAACACAGAGGTGTAAGAACGGATGCAAGAGGTAGTGCAAAAAAAGATAAAATAAAGCGAATAAAAAGGGGTACTGAAGGGGCAGAAATAGAGTCTTTGGCGATGTCAGAAAGGCCTGAAAAACTGCTAGCCTCTTCATTACATTGCAGAACATAATAAGCACATGTTCAGCTTTTCCTTCAAGCTCTCCTAATCTGCGCAAGCACGGCTATAGCAGCCAGTCTCTACACTGTTTTGAATTTTATTCCAGCACCTAAATACTTTGTGATCACTGCAAATGCTGTATGGCAATTCAGTCACGGTACGTCCTTTTTAATGGCAATTATGGACTAGAGCAACATTTCTAGACGTCTACAGTCATAATCCATGTAAAGAAGAGGGCATGTGGCGAGGGTGTAGGGATCGGAACGTTGCCAGTCTGGTCTTTTCCAACGATGATGCCATTCTGAGTTCGCAATAGTGGGTGGATTGGCTGCACTCCAATCTACACCTCGTCACGCGCACTATCATATGCAGGGATGTAGATGATATACTGAGATTACATTTACAACTGGAGCAAACTGCACCTACTGTGTATGAAAATATTGCAGTTTTTAGGGGTTCCTGGTGTTGTACTTATCTGCCTGAACAAGCAAATTCGAAACGAAGTGAAGAGCCTTTTCAGACGGACAAATGTTAACAATACCTCCACTATTTCAGTCACATTAACTGTTAAATAAAGCATCATGTAGACGCATTGAATTAACGGCGTTTTCAGCTTTCCATAAGTACTTTATTACTTTGACGAATTCTTCTTTGAGTTAATGTTGTGAATACTTTCTTCCTTTCACAAATCTCTCACCATTTGAAATGGAGAGAGCTAGTACCTGAAACCACCAGGATACCTCTAGAAATAGATGTCGGATATCGCCGTGGCCTGGCGAGCGGGTTGCGCCTTCCTCACGTATTTAAGCTGCAGAAGTGGTACAAACTCCCTGAAGACAGGACTTATGTCCAGGGAAGGCGTTTGAATATCAAATGAACGCAGAGCGCGCCTTTGAGTGTTTTAAGAAAGAATCGTGGATGCGCGTGAACGTGAACTATTTTTGCACACTATATAACTGGCAATGTCAGCCGATGCATCAATGCTTCCATAAGAGGCAACTGTTATATCGGCGATCCGAAACCGTGGGAATGAGTGATCATTATCCCTGCAAACGAGAGGGTGTGCGGCCCTCAAGTGTCCCCTATGAAAGTGCTGCCGAAACTTCGATGGCGAGAAATGAAAAAGATGGTGGTATCGTAAATAGATGACCTAACAAGGGAGGTCTTTCAGGTCGTGGCGCGCTTTTTGGAAATGGTTTGTTGCTTGTTGTAGGGGTCCATACAAGGATCACAAAAATGGGTTTCATTTTTGCTATGCGTTTCTGGGTAGGTCAAAAACTGAGTGAAAAGAATTTGACAAGAATGGGCGGTTTTAACAATCTTAATGGGCTCCGTTCTGCTTGTAACTTCGAGCATGCATAGTTTATGAGGTGGTCACTAATTAGGCCTCAAAATAGATTCGATTAAAGTCAAAATGTAAGTATCATGTGGTAACACACTTGGCATGCACCGACGCAAGAGTGATGTTTTTGTCAGCGCTCCCTTCACGACCACTGCCAACGGATCGGATGGCGCAGTGGATAACACGACGGGTTCTGGATGGCACGGCAAGGGGGACTTTGTGGATCGGATCCTCCTCGCGGAAAATGTTTTGCATTTTTCAGCTTTCCATTCATTCGCGTGCCTGTGTGTCTGGCAGTGGAAATAAGTCAAGTATATGCCATTTGAAGGCATATACTTGTGGCCACATTGTGACCTGAAAGTGTGCTTGTGCTGCCCCTCGTAGCTCATGTCAGAAGGGTTATTGCAATGAAATACCATCACATTTATGTTCAGCGGGTTGGATTACCCCTGGGGACTAATTTCTAGCCAAATCTGACGTTTCGACCTAACTTGGAAAATGTGGGCCATTCTATGGACAGCAGCAGGCTGGGGTCCACCCACCATGGATGACTGGTCTTGGGATGGAATTTTCTACCGGTAATCAGGAAAATGATGCAGGCGGCACGAACAAGTGAGCCAGGTATTGTTCTTTGCGAAAAGACATGACTGAAGGGTTATTTCAGTGCAAAGACCAGTCATCACCAGTATGCTAGTCGGAGTATTGGCTATCATCCAGGCGTGACCATCTCTACCCCATTTTTTCGAAGTTGAGTCAGAACCTCGGATTTCCTCAAGGTGGCGTTTCTAGGGGTTGTTTGACCCCCTGAACACGAATATGATATCTATTTCGCACGGAGAGAGCTGTGAGTCGCGCTACAGGTGCAAATTCACTGCGCCAGCCCACCCGCAAGAAGAAAAACAGTGAAGGAAAACCTCCATAACTCCGCTCAGAGAATCGTTCCGCAAATTTTGAAGGTAGTTTCGAGTTCACTGTGTCAAGACGAGTACAATGATATGCACTCACTGCAAATGGCCAGGTTGTCCTGTTGGCCTTTCCTGGATGACACCTTACAAACCAGCACACTTGTGTGGAGAACCTTGTTTCCGGAAATGTTCTCGTCTCGTTGCGTTGATACAGATGCAAAACTGTTGCCGCAATGAGGATCCGAACCGAGTCCCGCATTGTCGTGCCATCCAGAATCCATCGTGCTATCCGCTACGCCATCCGATCCGCCAGCAATGGTCATGAAGGGAGCGCTGACAAAAACATCACTCTTGCGTCGGTGCATGCCAAGTGTGTTACCACATGATACTTACATTTTGACTTTAATCGAATCTATTTTGAGGCCTAATTAGTGACCACCTCATAAACTATGCATGCTCGAAGTTACAAGCAGAAGGAGCCCATTAAGGTTGTTAAAACCGCCCATTCTTGTCAAATTCTTTTCACCCAGTTTTTGACCTACCCAGAAACGCGTAGCAAAAATGAAACCCATTTTTGTGATCCTTGTATGGACCCCTACAACAAGCAACAAACCATTTCCAAAAAGCGCGCCACGACCTGAAAGACCTCCCTTGTAAGTGGGAAACTTGCTGTGCTGATTGGCCGATCCTCTTTCGCTTTCCGTAGCTCTTTTCATATGCAGATAAGACATAGGAATGAAGATACCTAGTGAACTTTTCAAAAAAATTCTTTCCCACCCAGCTGTACAGTTTCGAGAAAACACCCCTTCAATAACCACCCGTGGAAGGCTCAAAGGCTCTCTAATTATAGTGATAGCAATGTATGTAGTGTAATGTTAAAAGCTGGGAAGCAGTGCAAGATTTCATGAGCAGGTCGTCACACAATATCGATTTTATTTCGAAAACAATCAGGGAGAGATCGCTGATACCGCGTGTGAGGGTATGTGAGGAAGGGACTAGGACACAATAACGCTATAATGTAAACTGGAATTATAAGGCAATGGCATGGTGGACAACCGCCAAAATGATCGCACGCACGCGACAGTGGCTTTGATCATGTAGGTTGTTGTCCATCATGTCATTGCCTTATAATGTTCGCTTTACATTATACTGTTACCAGTCGGATCGCACGGCTGACGCCGAGCTCTCCTCCTTCTTTTTAGCTCGGCTTCGCCGAGCTGGCCTGGCTTCGCCAGGCGCACATCATAACGGGATGGAATTAGTTAATTGTATGAGCTGCTCATATTGCGCGGTAGTGGTCGAATCATAATAGACAGAGTAACCTAGCGAAATCTGCACCCCTCAGAGTTGCGGAAGGCGTGCTGGTTTCGGCCATAACGCCCATTCTATACGTAGATCTCAGAAATAGATAGGAAGTACAGAATATCAATATGTGTTGCACAGTAGATAAACACATTCCGTTTTTATTACCTGCATCACAACACCAACGATGGGCGATTAACTTGTCATTAACATGCAATCCACCTGCTAAGGTTGCATGAATGGCTGCAGATGACAATATGTTCATTGAATATCTTACAAACTACTTCGTTATTCGTTCTCATCAGTGATTTAATGTTGAAAAGCAAAAAAAATATTTAAATACTCACTGAACGCATAAAGTGTGTTCCAATATTGGAGTTTTTGATTTCTCCAAACTTCCTGTTTCAGGCGAAGTATATACCCCCTAGTGGGATGAGTACATTTTCTAGTGCTATCAGAGGAGTGATGGCTGTGGGAAAATTTCGCTTACTGAGAGGCTTTTTGGCAGTGTAGTGGTCAGAGATGTCGTGAGAATGTCCCCTTATCTTTACTTATCAATTGATAAAATTGCTTGTCACCCGTCATCAATGTCGCTATCACTAAAACTCCATAATTTCGTGGTGTAGAGGCTCCAGCGTTTGATTGAACAACAACTGCATCGTTCTCTATCAGGCCCTATCAGCTGTTATCATTTCTTGTCACCCGCCGTCGCATTCTCCACCTTCCCCTTGATATCATTTGCTGAAATCAACGCCTAACTGATGCTGTGTACCGCGTTATGAGTATGTTGTCCTTTCCACTCTAACTCCCTTTATCAGCGGCTAGCAGTTCTTGTCACCCACATATTCCTGTGCCATAACCTATATCATACCTTGAAAAAACGCCCCAGTGTTCCAGTCGGACCGTCCCTCTGCTTCCTTCTCTTGCGCATGCTCAGATCGGGCTGAGCACGCGCAGGGGAAGGAAGCAGGGGGGGGGGGCGCCCAGTGCCCCCCCTCTCTCGGCCCCACCCCACCCTGCCCCCGCACGAGCACACGTCCAGCTGCCACGCCAGCAGCTCGTGCAATGGCTCGGAGTGTACCGAATGGTTGTCTTATATAGCGGAGGCCGTTATCACAATC